TTTGGGAACAAATAAGAAACAAACTCCGTTTTGGTAAGAAATATGTTGTTAACCTATCAAATTTCTCAATTATCTCTGGGCTTATATTTTTGAAAAATTCTGTTGGGCCTAGCCTGGGGCGAGCATCCTTTATTCATATCTGGGCTTTTAACCTTGCAATTTTAGTTTAGGCCCAGTCTATCGATCGGCCTAGGTTAAAGCAAATAAAATATATTGAGTTTATAGTTTTCAACTTTCAATAACGAAAAATTTTAAAGTTGAAAGCAGCAAAAATATCTCAACATATTGTGTTTGTTCGTGTCACCTATCATCAGTCACCCTTTCCGCAGACATTGGGCGGGCAACTTAATTTGGGTTGGTGGGCCCATCGTTTTCACAGTTTTTAAATGCTGGGGCCCATGTCTCTGTTAAGTAATCATGATCCACTAACAATCAGTCAGTCGCTTTCAGAAACCTTCAACTCAATATTCAAATTGGGCCTGGCCCGTTTTCTTGTGGACATTGTTGGGCTTTCGCATCCAAGGTAAGCCTGAGGTGGAAATGACGTAACAAGCTCTAATTTTCTCTCGTTTACTTGGTAATACCAAATCTAATTTTATTTTATACAAAATCTCCTTTAATTATCAAAAGGAGTTTTGTGGAAATGACGTGTATCGAAATCCGGTCATTCATAGGAGGGAATGACGCCAAATTTGGGCATCATCATCCTAGTAATATTCTTTTAAACCTTAATTCATTGTTTAAAACTTTTTTTAATTAAAACTTTAATTATTTTAAGAAAATACATAATTGTATGTTTATAAAATAAATTATTTCTTAATATAATTTAATAGTATAAATAAGTAAAAGAAAAGTACATATGTATTTGTATACGTATATTATTTAAAATGAATGGTTAAAATTGGATTTTATTATTATTAAAGGGTGCCTGACCTTATACAATTACAAAGTCTCCCAAACATAGGATTATCCAAATTTGATTGGATATTACAAGGGGTTTCACAAATGTCTCCTTCCTTTTCCTTTCAGTTTCAATCATATGAAAGATCAGGGTTATATAAACAAAAATATCTTGAAATTTGATCTGTTCGCATGTATGTCAATTTTCACAATATATTTCTTTCTATATAATTTATTTTGTTTCCTTGTCAATAAAATATGTCTCTTTTGGCAATTTCAAATAGATGATCCCTTTCGGTCAACAATTATATTTTACTAGTGTCTTGTGATATAAATAATTTTCATTTGGGGTTTTACTTCGTTTGGGCCCACCACTCTAAAAGAAGCTTCTGACTGGACAAGCACGCTATTAGTACAATCTGCGTTGGGAGAGTTGAAAGAAATAAAACCGCACTTTCTCAATGAATATTTTGCACCTTTGCCATGCATAAGTAACGCATTATATTTTCTAGTGGCAACAAGGATATGCATATGATGATGAGGCCCAATTATGGCCTTGTCCCCTCATATTAATGACCTGTGATACACCTCATTTCCCAAAACAAGGAAGAAATAAAACTAATTCTGATAATTATTGTAAAAAAAAGGAATTGGTTTGAGCTAGATTGGTAGTATTGATCAAGCAGTAATGCTAAGGAGCCAACAGCCAATGAGACAGCTCCATGTGGGGCTGTCCCACATTGGTCCCATGTGGGACAGCCCCACATGGAGTTATCTCATTGGATGTTGGCTCCATAACGGAGCCAACAGTTGACTTCTTAGAATTTCTCATTGAACAAGTAGTAGTTGTGTATAAATAAGTATATTAGTTATTGTATATATAGGTATCTTGGATTAGGCATACGAAAGAATCAGGTGACTCGAGTCAAATCTCGGCTCGAGTTCGAATTTGACCGAATTCAAGCACTTCAAACTCAGATGGAGCTCGTGATTATATTTCTTATGTCAGAATGTTCGATAAATCTTTCAAATATAAGTGTAGTTTATGTAAATATTCCTACCATGTAGCTAAATTTGAAAAATATCTTATTTGAATAGATATATTTATTAAAATTTTAAGTTGAACTTGAGCGAAATCCGAACTGATGAAATTTAAGTCAATGANATATCAATTTGTTGAGCTGGAGCCCTAGCACCAGGGAAAAAAATCGAGCCCGACTCAATAAGATCATTGCTCCACTCGTCTCATCCTAGGTAGGTTTGCATTCCTGCCTTATCTCAAGTAAATAATTTGTTATACCAAATCTTTTATTTTCCGCTATTACTTTACTAGTCTCCTTCAAATTTAATAGCAAAATAATAATTAATAACTATTTATATATGATTAGATAAATTATAAATGTATTTAAAAATAATGGTTTGGAGTTCTTGCAGAGTGGAATCGGGCGGTGGGCCTACGAAAAGATCGTTTTTTTTACGAAAAAGTTGCTTTTTTTTACGAAAAAGTCGGTCGACTCTCGGTGAAATACTCGTTTGGCCGAGGGCTTCCAAATACATCATATAGCAATGCTTAATTTTAATCTAAAAATAAATAAATAATAGTATGATTTTAGTTGTTGGACGAGAGATGACCAAATGAATACCATCCAACGGGATTAAATATGCATTTTTTCCCCCATATTAAAATATTTCTGCAAAACGAATCATCGATGTCACAAACAAAACGTTATTTGCATTATTTTCAGAGTTGGGTATTTGATCAACTTTCAAAGTCATATGATGGACCAATCACTAAAATTGATTTATACGATGACATTAGCATTAATTGTGGCTTTTGGAGGTTAAAGTGACCTTTTTCCCCCTTATATGTGATTTAGACTAGTTTAATTATTTTTTAGATCGTCACCTAACCTAACCTACAATTGCAGATGGCCAAAAATATGGTTGGGCTATATACTACAGGTGATCGCAGTTTTTATAGTCTCAGACTTCAGAACATGACTCTTAAAAAAGTTGTTCGAATTGGATTCAAATTATGATTGATCCGTAAAAAGGAATATTAAGTTTTAATCATTATCACTACAAAGAATTGATGAAATTCCAACCGAAATATATTTCAATAGAATTCCAACAGTAATTCCAATGAATATTTCAATGCTATTATTTTTGTTGGAATTATTCCAACGAAAATATTCCGTTAAAATGAGTTTTCCATTAGAATTTCCGTTGGATTTTGACGATTCCAACGGTAGATTTTTCTACGGTGGTGGAAATAAAAATTCCAACAGTAAAAAATCGTT